AACTAGGCATTCGCCGCTAGGTGACTTAGCTCGTACTTCTCCTGATATTTATGGAACCTCAAGACATCATTGGCACGAGAAGACATCACTTAAGGGAAACAATGATGGTTTTTTGTCCACTGGCTCAACTAAAAGCAAGTAGTAGAACGAAGTAGGTTACACATAGATTACCAAATCTTAGGCTTGGTTCAAAGTGGTTATTGAGAAGTGGTATATAGTAGTGTACAGTGGGGGAAGATATATTTGCCCATGAAAATGTATCACGTAGTAGAACGGAATTTACCTTTGTTACTAAGTCGTTTTGATTTCTATAATAACCATCAATAAAGCTAACCTAGTTGTGCACTGAAGGGAAAAAAGATAATAAAACTTCGCAGTTTGCACTTTGTCTCGTTGCAAAATTTAGAAGATGGGAACAAAAACAAGAAACAAAAAAAATTATCAAATAAAAATCCAAGTAGAACCAGTTCTATTACTCACTGGAGGGAACCAAAAAAAAAAAAAAAGGGAAGACACAACAACATTCAACACCGTACTTTGAGTCATCCTCTTATGATCCAACAAGAAAAGAGAAGGTACTTAGACATACAAGTGACACACAATCTGAGAGTAGGTTATATACGAGCCACATACGAATTGGCCTGTGTCACATATCTCACCCAACGATATGGATTGTAACTACTTACTTTTTTTGCTATCTGCAAGTATTTGACCTGCATCACAGATATGAACGTTAGTAGAAGAAACGTAAAAAGCGCACCATCTCAAGAACCAGCATCATTTTACTTACCTGAAGTTTGGAAACATTGTACATTGGTATGGTGAACGTCATGCTGACCGGCCCTGCTTCCTTTGTGATATTACCTAAAAAACGAAATCAAGAGTTATCAGTAAATGATCTATTTTCTATGAGAGAACAAATATGAAAAACTTCGTCTTAGAGGGTTACCATGAAACTCCTGCGAAAATGTCAACTTTGCACGCAGTGTATGTTCAGCCCCACCAACAATCTGGAACACCACAGTTAGCTAATTGGACACACCATACTAAAGTTCAATATGCCTAAACTACATGAGAGATTCAACACTTGCCTTCTTTAAACCCCATTCAAGCATTTTGCTAGATTCCTTGAAATCGGTCCTCTGTCCAACCGCACCAGGTTCTAAGTCAAAACTTGCCCTGTCATGTCAAACATAACCCGTCGAATCTATCTCTTGTGTAATCCAAAATTTGGTATTATCCCTATAGCCGGGATTTATAAAAGTTCATTTGATTTCTTCCTCATTTAAGTTATGTACCTGGAAGTATAATTTGGTAATGGCATCTGAATAGTAATTGTGTTTGCAACTATGTCTGGAGGGAACTCCGCGCGTATTTTAATAATAACTTCAGCCTAAATTTAAGCAAGCAGTGATATGCGAATTAAGCACTGGGATAAAGATATATAAAGCAATTAATAAAATTTATTTAGTTTCAATCTGGCACAGAAAACTTGTATAAAACTGCACCTTAAGACGCCCGGCCTCTTCAATCAAGGTATTAACATGAAAAGGAGGCTTGAACTCCTGAGTCATACGGTAATTCATTACAGGGAATTCACCATCTGGTGGAACCTGAGATTTAGAAAGCAAGTTAAAGAGCAGCACAACATGTTATGACAAGATGTTTCAGTGGTAAATTTTTTGAAGCTCACCAGGGACAAAGTTCTATCCGAATCAAAGCTATCGAGGCGAACAGACTCATGAAAGTTACAATCATCAAGTATCACCCCAGAACCTGAAGAACTCCTATAATCTGCAACCAAAGAATGAAGTTATACTTCAATTGTGAAGTAACCAAGTGCTCGACCGTAATACTAGATCAAACCTACTTGACATGTATATAGTTGATAATGATGCGCCTCAAAGAGGCAGAAGAATGCTACAGTAATCTCTATAGATTAAAAAATCGGTTACGAAGGAAGCTTACGAAGAAACGGACATCGAGATTCCAAAGAGTAAAACAAGATAGAATAGGACGTCGATTCCCCCCCAAGATAATGACTAATTTAAAGGGGTAAAAGAAACAATACCATATACTGATCTTCCTCCTCTTCCTATGTTTAGGTCTTCATTAAGAGCTAAACGAATTTCTGGATTACCAGAAAGATAGCTCTTCATTTGAATGGTGCCATCAATCTCAGAAGTCAGTATATAACCCTGTTCGAAAATCATAAAAATTATGGAGAATTTCCAGGAAGAAAACATTAAGATGCAACAATTACATATATTAGGACATACTACATAGCTTTGACCTGCAGAACTTAATCGTTTGATATGGCAAGGTGAAAAAAGCCTGCCAAGACTTCCATACATATAATATAATAAACTAGAAAAATGTAACTACTCACACTTGAACTAAAAGTAACACTTATTTTCTCGATGATGTCCACAAAAATTTCCTCTCTTCTCCGACCGCCAGGCTCATTAGCCACAACCGATTTTGTAACTGCTGTTCCAGGCATTCTTTTGCCTCCCTGCTGTATAACATTAAGTCAAGGGGTCAGTCCTCAGTTGCATAGACCAGGAGGAAAAGGAAGATAAATTTTACCGTGAAGATGGCAGCAGGATCAATAGGTTGAAGGCGTGTAGGAGCAACCACAATTGGCTCATTGAATACATAGGATTTCAAAACCTCGGTTGATGTAGTTTGCACGTAACCAAAATCCTAATCAATAGAGCATAGAGTATAAATCAAGACTGGGGTGAAAAAAGCTACTGTATAGAATTATATTTGATAATGATGAGAAGGAAATCAAGATAAGACATACAATTACTTCATCGAGCAACTCATACACGAGCACGAAGTTTTTCCTGAAAGAATCTTCATTCAAAACACCAAGATAATCCTTAATAACACGAGCAATCCTTTGTAGAAGCTCCAAAACAAGAGATGGTGACACGTTAACCCTTGTTGTCGCAACAAAATACAGACCAACAACCTTGACATGGAAGTAGTTCACACCATCGACATTCTACAAAGCACAAAACAAAGAGTAAGATGCTGAAACACAAACAATTTTTATCAGAACATAACCAAGGGACCAGTATGAAAAAAGGAAAATTAGTTCATTCTCATAAAACACTAAAATGGTATAGATTTCCCTTATCAGTACGATAATACCTACAAAGATAGGTGGTGCCTCTGCATTTCCATCCTCCTTCCAGAACTTGACTTTACGGAAGAATGTCTCTGTGCTGCCTTTTGGTACCTCAGCTCGGTCTGTAACAATAAAACGCTGCACATGTTGAAATCTCAAGCGGATCTAATCAAATCTCTTTCAAATTAATGCTCCTCTACTACATAAACAAAGCTTTTCCGGCCAAAACGAAAAATCTACCGGCGAATCCCAGATACCAAGTGATCAGCAGGATGATTTCAAAGCCATCTTCCCTAATTATTTGGATAGTTCTAATGTATCGGACAATCAGATTAAGAAGAATTGGCTTTACATACATGTAATCAAGGAAATGCAGGTAGATCAAACAGATCAAAGAGCTTTTGAGAAGCTTCGAGGGAAAAAAACACAG